TTTGCGTATCAATATAGGTACTTTATGTAAATTTCACAGATAACATACTGTATAATGTAAAATATAATAAATTACGTATTTACTACATACTAGTGGTCGCCCCGTCAGGGGTGTTCTTCTCTAGAAATCTGTCCGATTCTAGAATAAGTGCAGTGTTGCAATAAAGCAGTGTCCCCCCCCCCCCCCCATTCCTTTCTCACACAAGTCCTTTATTCCTCTCTTTTACTAATTTCCTTTCCGCATTCCCAATTTTCTCTTCCTTTTTTCTCAATCCTTTCCTCCAAATCGTAGGTGGCGGAAACCACCAACAAATGCATTCCAAAGAGGGTTGACGTCAGCCAGGCGGCCGGTCGTAAAACTATAAGCCAATTCCTTTTGTAATATGGATAAAACCAGATTACGTCGACCACAAATAATAATTGGGATAAGTGTAGGAAGATGATGAGTGGTCGCGCCGTGGTCGAAATTCGACAGTAACATATCATAAAATCGTAACTGTTCGCTGTCTGTACATGGAAGTTATATAAGAAACACTATTAGATCCTTACATATGAAATTGGCGTTTTGTGCGGGAGAAATATAAAGTGATTTTATTTTTTGTAAAATATATTTAATTAATTAATTTATAAAAGACACACCAACAATATGCTCACAATAATTAAGTAGACAATATACAATGTTATTAATAAGTAAAAGAGAAAAACTACTATTACAAAATGCATAAATCTAAGTTTGATCAAAAAAATCTCACTCCTCACTACCGAGCTTAAGGCTGTATGAACATATCAATTAAAGGTGTACGAGGTTTGTCCGGAAAGTACGTATAAAAGTTTTTTAAAAATTTTATTTTACAATTATTCAGGTAAAACAATTTTATCCCCTTCAAAGTAGTGACATAATGCACTTGTGCCAACGCCGTTTCCACTGTGAAAGGCTCCTTGAAAGTGGTTGTAGGTTTCTCAGCTGCCCCGTCGTAGCTTTTTTTATCTCATTTATGTCCCCCAAATGCCGCCCCCGAAGTACCAATTTGGTTTTTGGGAACAAGAAGAAGTCACACGGGGCCAAATCCGGCGAATAGGGGGGTGTTCGGTCACCGTAATGGAATTTTTACTCAAAAACTCACGGACAACAAGAGAGGTGTGGGCAGGGGCATTGTCGTGGTGAAGAATCCAACGCCCCTCTCGCGCCAATTCTGGACGAACTCGTGCCACACGAGCTTTGAGGCGTCTGAGCACATCGACGTAGAATTTTCCATCATCTGTCTGGCCTGGAGGGACGAATTCTTGATGGACAATCCCCCGAACATCGAAAAAAACAATCAACATTGTCTTGACCTTTTTAGCCACTTGTGGACGGTTGGTTCCTTCACAGCATCATCCCCATAAACTGTTCTGAGATCGGCAAAAATTTCACGGCCATTCTTGCCGAGTTTCGAGAGAAACTTGATTTCGACGCGCTGCTCTTCAACTGAAGCGGGCTCCATGCCTACGGGGTTTCGTTAAGAGGTAACTGATGGCGTGACAAGCAGTTCGCACCGCACGGCGGTCAGACCAGAACTGAAGCATTGTTAGGGACATAAGGAAGGGGTCCTGCGCTTACCTGGCCTCCCCACTCCTCTTTCTCGCATTCCAGAACACTTTTATACGAACTTTCCGGACAGATCGTATACAGCTCTCACAGATAAGCGTCAATGTACACTAACTAACAATTATACAATGAAATCAAAGTATGCACCGTTATAATCTATGCACTTTTGCCATCTCATAGGTAATTCATTGATCCCTTTATTAAAAAACCATGGGGGTGAGAAACAATAAGCACTTTGAAAGCGGTTTGGACTGCCGCATCGGAATTGTTTTCCTTGTAAGCAGTTGTCCAAATACCGGAAAAAATTATAATCTGTTGGAGCAAGGTCCGGGGAGTATGGTGGATGTCGCAGACGTTCTTCAGATCCAAATGGTCCGTCAGCTAGTTTGCCATTCTAAGTTGTATAAAAAAAAGGTACAAAGGAACATTTGTGGGGTGTCTCAGTCTGTCTGTCCGTGTGTCTTAGCGTTATATTTCAGCAACTACTAATGCTATCGATTTGAAATTTGGAATAGTTTTACATATTGTTGGTCCGCGTCTTACGTTATATACATAGAGTGTCTCCATGCGAATGTTACGAGAAAAACGGGCCAACTTTTTCATACAATTTTGCGTGAGAAATAGTTATGAGCGATTCCTTTATAGCTTCTATATTTTGTCATACAATTTCTGTATCTTTTTTAAATGCGTAAACACTAATTTTATTTAATAAATAATACGTCCAGATACATTGTCTGCGTAAGTATATAGGACATTGATAATAAAACGTGTCGGCTAATTTGACAATTTGCTGACAAAAAGTTGACACGTTTTTGAAGCTCAACGATCTGTCTATATATATTGCAAATAAAATAAATAAAAAAAAAATATTTTTACTTTCTTTAGACAGGACTAAAAAGTAGTCAAAATTTGAAAATTAACCTACTAGTTCAAGTGGGGTATCATATGAAAGAGCTTCATTTATATTGTATAAAATGATTTCTATTTATTTTGACGCTGCGGAAGCGAAAAATCTGAAATAATTACTGTTTATAAAGGAATATGTGAATATTACAGAAAAAATAAAACGATGTTTCCACCTAGCATAGTATTTGAGAAATTACATACATATACATACATATCTGTCACGCCTGTCTCCCATTAGGGTAGACAGAAACAATGGAACGCCAAATGCTTCGATTTAAACGAACCTCTTTCGCTTCCTCCACATTCATCAATCTTTTGAGAAATTAATAAAAAAAAAACCTCCAAAACCAAAACATAGTTATGGGGGTCAGTTTTTAACCACAATTATGAATCAAAATAAGAAATTATATCAAAAATATGAATGGTAAAAAATATTAGGCGTCTTTTTAGTAAGAATAATGCAATAAAGGTCATTTTACCTCATAATTTTACATTTACGTAAATGTAAAATTATGAGGTAAACCCTTGGCTTATGAGTTTAACTTTTTTTATTTTTATTTTTTTTTATATAACTTAGAATGGCAAACAAGCTGACGGCCCACCTGATGGAAAGTGGTAACCGACTTACATCTGATCGGTTTTTTTCTTATCGTTAAAAAAAAAAACTACTATCTACATATTTATAAAATATTATAAAATTCGGTCGAGCGGTTTCGAATATTATATCTAAGAGTTTGTTTTTTTTAACGCGCTAATCTCTAGCACTACCGATCGGATTTCAAAACTTCTTTTTCTATTCGACAGCGTATTTCTTGAGGCAAGTTCAAGGATATTTAAAATCACGATAAGAGAGGTGAAGCCGCGGGAGACAGCTAGTAAAGTACACAGGGTGAAGTCGATATCGTTAGGATACTTTGAAGGGAGCGTTTCTTCAGCGAAACGATATAATTGTAGCGCCTCCTATACTAATTCGACAGCTAAAAATCGGTGTTAAATGGGTGATAATGGAATGGTAACCCCGCCTGCGCTATCGGTATACGCTGGTGGGGCACCAGTGAGGGATGATTGGTGAGGATGAAAGCAAATCAGTTGGCACATCATGTCGAATTAACCAAAAATTAAACACGATTGTTGGCGATGTATGGCGACCGCGTGGAGGTCGACCTGGTAGAGTACATAAAGTATCATAAGTGCTAAATTAGAATATAACCTACCTATATATAAAATTTCATTCAAATTCGTTCAGTAGTTTTTGCGTGAAAGAGTAATAAACATCTACCTATCCTTTTAAATTTTCGTATTTATAATATTGATAGAAAACGCAGACAAAGCCGCGAGATTCAACTAGTAATATTGCGCGAAAGTTTGTCAGAGGCTTGTATGTTTAATACTATATCATCATGCATTAATAACTGAACAAATATTAAGGAAATTTGGCACACAGATAGATCATGTCCTAGATTAATACATAGGATTATTTTTACAATAATACCTAACAAGCAATGTCGGGAGTTATAGCTAGTGGAAGTTCCCTTATAAGTCATGGGTGTCACAGTGTATTCTGTGACATCTAAGATACTCTTCATGTCTATAGGTGATGTTACTACTTGTCATTAAGTAGGTCATTAGCATGTTTGCCATTCTAAGTTGTAGATAGATAGATAGACACATTTATTTGACAGAACATTGTTTTTACAGATCTTGATTTTTATATATATTAAATATTAAGTAAATATGTTTTTATAGAATAGAATAAACAGAGTCTTTAACCAATAATGATTATTGTAAGTTATATTTAAATAGAGAATAAATAATGTTTTGATGATAATCAATAAAATAAAAAACCCATAAACTAAAATATTTTTTTTTAATTCATTGGTTCCAATTATATAATACAAGTAAAAAAATGGCATAATACATTTGTAGCTATACCATGTCTCAGATAATAAAAAAGTTTATTAATAATTTGATTACACAAAAATAAATACAAAATTAGAATTTGGAATAAAAAAAAAATACTAAGACTAAGTAGAGAAACAAAAGAAAATATTCATAAATGTCTTTATCAGTAGAAATAGTTGTTCTAAATGTATTTGTGATTTAAAAGGAAATCACAGTTTTATCTATATGTAATCTCACGGATATCTAGTTTCACAAACCAGTAGTTTATATAGGTAGTAACAGGTTCATTTTATTAGATAGAAATAGCGTAAGATATGTAACAGTTTTTTATCTATAAAGATATCAAGGCCCAATATACCAGTGTCATTAATAAAGCCCATTATGTGGGCATTGGTGATTTAAATTCCTTTACTCTGTCTATGATTTAAAAAGTATATTTACATAGACAAATAATTTTTGATACTGGCTGAATTTTTAGTTGCATTTCTGATTTCAGATAGATGATTAATAAATAATTTTAAATAAAAAAATTCCTATTTGCTGCCAGTTGTAAAATTTGTTAGGTATTATTGGAAAATATTAAATAGTTTAAAAAAAAAACCTACCTTATTAGAAGCACTTTAAGATTCAAATCCAAAGTCGATTATCCACCCCCTGAAACCGCGGTATCACCAAATCACACTATGGTACACGACACAATGAAACTTCTGATTAGATTTTTTTTTTGTTGTAGAAAAAAAAAATAACGATAACTATGCATTAGTTAACGATATCGCACAGTTTATATCCAATCAAAGGTTTAAATGTGAATTTTGTTCTAATATAGATAACAAAACAATTTATGATAAGTAATGATTACAATTTATTTAACAATTTGGACCGCCGAAAACAAATTTTAAATATGGGTAATGTACGCTATGCGGCGACGAACGGAATCGTAATAAAATTAAACACGACGCAGCGTCAAATTACGCGTCTACCACTTTCAGTTAAAAGGTTAACAAGCAATTGACTACAGTTTTTTTTAATCAGTTAAAAATAAGGACATTAGTGTTAGTAACTACACGCTTTTATTGGTACTCACCGATGCTAGCGGTGCGCATTCCACCTTTCTCGAAGTGCGTGGGCTCTTATTTTCATCTTGTTCACGTAATACCACTTTGCGAATAACTAATATTTTGGTATCAAAATGCAAGGAGGTAAAAAAATACGATGACCACTAGTTACATTAGAACTGTCAAACTGAACTTCACTGCCAAATGCCAAATACCATAGACAAGGTTAAATTTTATAAATAGAATTTTGGTACTGCTATTCGATCACAGATGGTATTAGTAGTATCGTCTGTTATAAAAATGTACACAATTTGATTTTTCAGTATTAATGTTTATTTATGTACTTAAATTTATTTATAAAATTTAAAGCATATTTTGAGTTATGTAAATAGACTTAAAAACCAATATAATTAGTAATAGACTTTAAATGTGCTATTCGACAACAGATGGCAGGCTAGGTATCTTAAACGTACACTTAATTTACAAATTATATCTTAATTTTCACTTTATTTCTGTGACCCGCGTCATAGAGTGCAAGCGTCTCAACCGCTTATAATTAAGGGTTACGAATTGATACCGAAACCAATCAGATCATGTAATAAACACATAAAATAAACCAGTAGTTATTGTATTAAAACTATAATAATATGTTACTAAATGGAAGATAATACATCATCGCAATGAGCTGCCCAATAATAAGACACTTTTTCTTTTATCTGTATATAAAACAATGACAATTACAAAAGCCCAGTCTGAAATTTACATCTATCATATTTCCTATATACCAATTCCAAATTCAAATAATCTTTATTTAAATAGACTTGTTTACAACCACTTTTAAATCGTAATTTTTTTTTTTAATCTAATGCAGAGTTCGGAAAGTTGTTATCTATTGAGAAGAGCCCGCGAGAAACTCAACAGTTACTCTTTTAAATCTCTGTTAACGTTATGTGTATTTATTTAAGTGTACTATGTCTATAATTACATGGTCATTAAAAAGCCCTTGCATGATTGACTAACACCATGCACGCTTACCATTCATTTTAGGTCGGCCATTAAATGATACTTAAGAAAAAATGTTATATGAGGGGTCTTGACAGGAGCAATAGAAGCCAAAACAATATTTATTAAAAATTTTGTCTGTCTGTCTGTATGTTTGTTCCGGTATCACGCTGATTACTACAAGAAATTGGATGCAATTTTCACAGTTTTTCCTAAAGGTCTAACTTAAAAACTAGCCTTGATACGGCATCTGGAAGTAATTAAATTCTCTGATTTTTCTACTTCTAAAATCTGTATTAGGCAAAAAAGCTATTTATTTATTTAAACAACTATATTGACCAAAATAAAATAAGGTACAAAAAGCGGATTTAACGCTAGTAACGTTCTCTACCAGTCAACCTTTGGGACGAACAGTGAATCACGAACGTGCTACTTCATTATTGGTATATGGTATGTAGTATAGATAGATAATTGCATATAAAAACAATTTTATTTTGTTTAGATCTCGTCCATTCATTTCCTATTTAAGAGCTGCGCTCTTGTCGGCGGAGCTCTTGCCACTCACTACGATTTGCAGCGAGTCTCTTCACCTCTTGATACGACCCGACACCAACTCCTTCCTTGATTTGCCTGATGTAACTATGTCTCGGTCTCCCTCTCCCCCTCCTTCCTTCTATCTTACCTTCTATTATAATGTTCATAAGTTCGTCGTGTCGTATCCAGTGTCCCCACATTTTTTCCCCTTCCTTACCTTAATAGTTTTTATAATTTGTTCATTTTCTTTAACCCTAAATAGAACATCCTCATTTCTAATTCGATCTTTTTTTTTTTTAATAGATGATAATGGAACGGTAACCCCGCCTGCGCTATCGGTATGCACTGGCGGGGCACCAGTGAGGGATGATAGAATGATTTCATCCTATCAGGGGGGGTGGGGTTACCATTCCATTATCACCCATTAAAAAAACCCTTTGACCCCGTATTTTTTTTTGTTTGCTACATTTTCGCATATCGCCTTGACAACAAATAGCAGTACGAGTGTTTAGCCATCTAGCGAGATTCCTAGAAACAATATTAATGTAGCAAAACAAAAATCGCGGGACAACAACGTCAATAAGCGTAGAAAGTGCGAGCACGTCGAAATCGCGGGATGCGTACAATTAAACTAGTAGATACTGCACGCGGGAATCGCGGGATACCCGGTCAGAGGGTTAATTTTCCTTTCTAATTAGTTTTTTGAAGACTTATTGTTATATAGTATTTATTGTTATTATTATTTATAGTTACACAGTATTTGTTACTGTATTAAATCTTTCTTGGATGAGCATATTGGGAGACTGTAAGCTCACCCAGTTAATGAAATAAATAAATAAATTTACTAGTTATTTATTTATTATAAACTTGTGTTTTGTTTTAGTTGTTTTTACTTTATCCGCTGACATTGATGCTCCTTTCCACTTTGCGTGTTGCTGGAAGAGAACTCTTTTAGAGTTAAGCTCGCTTGATTTTTTTTATATTTATATCTCTCGTATTTTGATGTATAATTAGTGTGTACAATAAAGTATAAACAAATAAATAATTCTGTTTGTTTAAGGCAGGTTTTTTTTTCATTTCATTAGATTAGACTTTTTTTTTTTAATGAGTGAAGATGGAACGGTGGCCCCGTCTACACTATCGGTATACGCTGGCGGGGTACCAGTGAAGGGTCACAGGTGAGGACGAAGGCAGGTCAGTTGGCCCATAGTGACCAATTGAACAAGAATTAACCACTATGGTTTCCAGGGAGAACCGCGTGGAGGTCGACCTGGTAGAGTGTATTGCTAGCAATGGAGCTGTTAAATCTTATTACTAACAATCCCTTTCCCCCCAGATTAGACATATTGATGACCTTATATTTCACCTAATATACACCAAAATTGGTTAAGTGGTAAACCCAAACAAATAAATGACACTTCACATTTATAATATATTTTAGTAAAGTATACCTGCTTGATATACTTAAATACTTTTTAAACAAATCTCTATTTCTGGTTGTTGCCAAACCCGTCTTGTACTATGCTAAACGGCAAACGATACCATCATTATTGTCTATGACTGTTCCAATTTCAAAATGCAGATTCAGAACTCCATAGAGTCGTTGATTTGTTTATATATTTTTTTTTATTATTATTTCGTCACTTTCCAGATAAACATTCGAGGTGTTCGTGGCATTCGTAAACTTTTAATAATTATCATTTATGAGTATTACGAAAAAAAATATAAAAAAGTAAATAAAAAAAACCTATTTAATCTCAATATAATCTGCTAAATCACTGCATCTGACTTAATTTATAAATATATCGGTACTAATGCTATTTATAGTACAATCATCATCATCATCATCATCATCATCATCATCATCATATCAGCCTTTAATGGTCCACTGCTGAACATAAGTCTCCCTCTTGGGGGCTTTTACCAGTAATTGCCACACTTGGCAGACGGACTGACAAGTGCAGTTAAGGTTTGGTGATGTTTTGAGAGGGACGCTGCTGCCCATTCCTCGCCCTTCTTAGTCGGCTCTTATGATACCCACGGGAAAGGAAGGGGTGGCCCTTTCTATGTGATTACTATTGTTTCTGCTTAGCCTAATGGGAGACAGGCATAGCGCGAGCCAGTCAGCGGACAAAATTCTCCATACTAAGAAAAAAAGGGCAAGTCCTAATGTTAGGTGCAATGCTACTCCATAGCTCCCTTAGTTTTTACAACCAATAAAACATGGCGGCGTTCTAAACAACAAATTGGTTCGATGACGGTGCACAACGGCTAAATAATGATATTTACATATTGTTTTGTCACTTTCCACTTTATTATTTATTAGTGTCGTTGTTTTTTTCAGATAATATCGTGGTCGTATCTGTGGTGCGTTTGTTTGGAAATTTGGCGCGATTGTCTATGGTTTATATGGGCATTGTTTTCTTTTCGGCCAGTCATGTTTACGAAGATTATTTTCATTGACTGTCAAAATGCGTGTTCACAGAATAAAGTTTGCGTCCGGTACGGTTGATCGAATCGATTGATTAGACGCACGTGGTTACTTAACACCTGATAAAGTTATTTATTTTAATGTAACGAGTCGATATTTTATTATTGGGAACATTGGGATCGATTCTTTAACGCCATTGTCTAAACCTATCATTAAAAAAAAATATTTTTCGATTAAAACATTATTGTAATTTAATACAAATAAATCTTAAAAAATAATTATTTACAGCAAAATCTTTATCTGACGATCAAAGAGAACAAAATTTTTAATAGATTTAAGAAAAGATATATTACAAATTTTATTTTTAATGATTCATAAAACCATAAATTTTTTGGTCTAGAGAGATGGCTCCTAAGAATCGACTTCATTGTTTAGGCATTATAACTGGGAAGCGATTGCTGGAAAGCGACTGGGGAGTGAAATGCTAGTAGCAGGACCTAGTGAGTATTGTTAGTAATATAAGTAGTTTGTTCTTTATGCGGTCTCCCTGAATTATCTCCCTTAATTATGTATTTATCCTCACCAATCATCCCTCATTGGTACTCCGTCAATGAATATTGATGGCGCAGCGAAGTTAGCGTTTCATTTCACCCATTAAAAAAAAGCGCCCATAAAGAAAAATATTAAACCACTTTTTGGAAGCTGCTTAAAAATAATATGAAATTTTGAAATTAGAATTAATAGAATGACTTTTATTTCCATGTAAGTCATAGATAATGGGTAGTACCTGCGGCCCTTTATTATTCTCTTTCTAAGTTGTAAATAGATAATAAGAATGTATCTAAAAGATCGTTGAAGGAAGTGCCAGTACATAATTACTTCTCTGAATAGAACAATAGATCAGTTTCTTAGTAATATCGCAGCAAACAATGGTGCTTGACAGACATACCT